GAGGGTCCTGGTGACCACCACGTTGCTGATGATTGGGGAACAAAGCATCGGGAGGACTCTGGCTGTGGCCGCACACTTGAGCTGATCTGCTGAGCTGAACGTGATGGCACACGCCAACCACCTGAAAGGGCGCGTGGCTTCGAGCTTGGGGAGGACTGCATTCACTTCGCGGCCGAACTGCTTGAAGATGCGTTGAGAGGCTGGGGCTTGAGCCCCGCCCAGGATGCAGGCGATCGCGCGCAGCTCCTGGGAGCCCCCAGCCCCCTCGTCCTGATGGCGGTCCTCGTTTCTCCTTGACTATGGCGACAGCGGAGGGAGGCCGGTGTTGCCTTGCGGGCGATCCTCACGAGGCTGATCCCTCCAGTCTCCCTCGCGAGGCGAGTCTTGCCAGCGATCCTCGCGAGGTTGATCGCGCCACCCTTGGTGCGGGCCGCGGTCTTCCCAGCGTCCTGCGTTCCTTCCTCCTCCTCGACCGTAGCCCCGGTCACCGCGGTCGGGACGACGGCCGATCCTTCCTTCTCGCACGGCTCGGAGCTCTTGACATTCGTTGGTGTTGTGGGTGTGAAGGTCGTGGTACACACAGTACCGGCTGCCCTTGGAAGATTCGGGCTGATCTCTGCCCCGCTTGGTGTCTGGTTCTGCCGCGAGCACGGCAGCCCCCTTGCGCTTCACATCCTTGGCCTTGGGCTTCTTCTCTTCTGGGTCTGCGGCAGGCAGCTCGAGGAGGGAGAGACGCCCTTCCTCAGCCCTGGCGCACTTGGTTGCCAAGTTGAACAACTCTAAGGAAGTGCACAGGTCTTCATGCATCGCCAGCTCCTCCTTCATCTTGACATCGCGCACGCCGTCGGAGAAGGCTGAGATGATGGCCTCCTCGGTCACCTTGGGAATCTTGAGGCGTGCGTTGTTGAAGCGCTGGATGTACTTCTGCAGGGTCTCTCCGGGTTGTTGCTTGATGCGGCGCATGTCGCTCACGACGGGTGGCCGGTCGCGAGTACCTTGGAAGTTGGCGATGAAGCGGGTGCGCATCTCGTCCCAGGAGGAGATCGTGCCTGGAGCCAGGTGCGGGCCCCGCCCTTGAGCGCCATGGAAAACCAGTTCGCCATGACCTTCTTGTCTCCGTTGGCAGCTTTGATGCCCAGCTCATAGAGCTGGAGGAACTCCGCAGGGTCGGCCGTGCCGTCGTAACGAGGAGGCAGGTCTGGCTTGAACTTGTCGGGCCACGCGACGTTGCGTAGCTCGGTGGTGAAGGCATGGCAGCCTGCTGTGGCCACGGGAGGCCTTGGGTGGCGGAGATCTTGGTCTTGCATGTCCCCACGCGCTGCAGCTGGGAGCAGCACGGGGTCTTGACGTGCAGGAGCAGGAGCATGGTCGCGACGTGCTGGAGCAGGGAGCGCCCGGGCAGCTTCTTGCGGGCGAGGGACTTCTTGGCAGCTTTGCTCTTGCCGTGCTGGCACCTGACGGAGCGGGTTTCGCCCAGGGGCCACGCGCCTTGGAGCCATGGCGCCTTCTTGAGGAGGAGGCGGCTGGGGCGCCGCCGGAGCTTCGTCGCCCGCGCGGGGCGGGGTGCGGTGCAGTGGAACGGACGGCGCAGGAGAGCCCCCTGCGGCGCGGACGAGCTCGGCGACGCGGTCGAGCCATTCTTCGTAGACGTCGTCGACGGGACGGTAGCACAGGAGCTCGTTTGCCGCGATGAGCGCAGCTCGAGCCTCCATGGGTGCGCGGAGCGCGCGGGACGAAGAACCAGCTGGGGTGAGCGAGGGAGTAGCGGTGCGGCCGTCTTGCCGCACGGACGGATGCTGAGACAACGCTTGCTGCTCGTCCCCCGCCGGGCCGGTGGCGGCGTTGACGGCAGGTGACGGGGAACGGCGAGGACGCCCACCGACAGGAGCCGTCTGGGCGACGCTGGAAGCGGGAGCTGTCCGGCGCTCGGCGCGGGCCCGACGAGCGTCAGACATGGACGCGATGGTCGGAGGAGAACGGGGTGGTGGAAGACGAGTTCCGGCGCACCCCTACCTGGCGCGCCAAATGTCGGATTTCAGGTTCCGGCAGACCCTTGAGGTTCGAACACTGGGGTGCGCGTGGAGATTTCGTCTTCTACCTACCTGCGCCCCTTCGCCTCGCTAAGATCTAAGCTATGGAAAGAACAGCACAAGAGACACAGGGTTTATACTGGTTCGGGCCACCGTTGTGGTGTAATACCCTACTCCAGTGTGTGGTGTGGTGGATTGCCTCTTGGGCTGATAATGATGAGCAATACAAGGAAGAACATCCTCGCAAGGGTCTGTTCTTGGCTGAGGGGATGAACTGCTAGGAGGAGTTCGGTCACCCTTCTCTCTCTCTCTTCTTGATTCTCTCTTTGATTTCGATCCCTTTCCGATTCCGTTTTCCCGATCCCCCTCCCCTGGGGGTGGCTAGTCCTATTTATAGGCAAAGGCCCTGGGCCTCTTCCCAAATATTGAGTGGGAAGGGCGTCAACAATTGGCCATTTTGAAGGGGAACATCTGGTACACTTATCGTGACTAAAGTTGGTCCTCGCCTGCCAAAGGCTCTGGTGATGACGCTGGCTTGGGCTCCACAATGACTTCCTCCCTACCGTTGGACTGGTCTTGGTCTCGTTGCACCGAAACGGGTGCCTTTGCTTGATGCTCTCGCCTGCGCTTGCTCCCTTTGCACCAAAGAGGAAAGGAGGATACTGCGCGGGCTGACGCCCGCCTGGCACCCTTGGTCGTCATGGCTTGCATCACGTGCTCCTCGTGAGGTACCCCGCCTTGATCTCTCCGCCTCCTCGTGAGCCAGCCTAACGAGGCTGTGCCTGAGGAAGCTCCGTGTCGTCCGCCCCGCGAGGCTTGGCCTCTCGCGAGGGTCTTGGGTCTGTGTTGATGAAGATGGGCCGTGTTGGGCCCCCCTTTGAGCCACGCCGCAGGCCGCAGGCAGGCAAGTCTGGGGACCCCCGTTTTCAGAACGCCGACAGTTGGCAGCTATGAGGTGCATGGACCGCATGGCTATGATGCATCGGACATATGACTTGGCATGATACCATGACTACGGGTACGATGAGCTCCAGGTGAAATCCTAGCACTGATTTCGCATGATGTTGGTGACAACTGAGTCCTCATATGTCATTGCCCTCCTTGGAGGCATCGTCGTGGAGCCCCTCCACCTTCCTTGCCGGTTGGACCTTGAGCTCTCCGGTGAAACTCAACCTTTGGCCTTGATCGAAGCAGGCGCCGCATTCCCATCGCTTCGCCCTTGGCGGCGTCATCTTTGGAGGTCTAGTCTTCTTCAAACTACGATGGTTTGTGTTGTCTTGCGGTTTTGTCGTCGGCTAGGCAAGTGTGCTGCCTCGGGGCCCATGCAGAAGCCGAAGCAACGACTTTGGAGATCGCCTTTGCGTTGCGGGATGTCGAGAGTCTAGTCACTTGGGTGGCAAAGTCGTCGACTCATCTGGTATGCGGCCTCGGGATTATTGTGGAAGCTGGAGCCGCATCTCCGAAAGACCGAAGTTCTCCTTCGCATTGTTTGGTGTTCAGTCCGATCACTTGGGTGCCAGAGTCGTCGACTCGTCTAAACACGGCCTCAGGCGGGTGTGTGTGACTTGTTCAGGTTTGTAAGGCTAGTCATAGTGGAAGTAACTTAGCAAGTAACATAACGCACTTCGAGAATTTTTTGCTTATGTGGCATGTAGTTAATGAGAAGTGGTAACATAATATATTACTATAATATAGCGCTTTTCAAGACAAAATGAGTCTACAAACTAATTAATGAAGTCCTCTATGACACTATTAGTATGTTACTTTGCATTATGAAGATAATAATTTAGACTAGTGTCATATGCATGACACTAATATAAATTACTCCCCACTATGACCAGCCTAAGGTGAAGCGGCGACTCTAATCTTGTCACTTGGGCGGCAAAGTCTGGTATACGGCCTCGGGATCACTGTGGAAGTTGGAGCCGCATCTCCGAAGTTCTCCTTCGCGTTGTTGGGTGTTCAGTCCGATCACTTGGGTGTCAAAAGTCGTCGACTCGTCTAAACACATCCTTGGGCCAGTGTGTGTGTGTCAGTTGTTGAGGTTGTAAGGTGAAGCGGCGACTCCGATCTTGTTGTAGGGTGTCGTGCCTAATCGCTTGGGTGGCGGGGTCATCAGCTCGCTTGATTTTGCGGGCTCGGGGTTGGTGTGTATTGGTCTCATTTGTATTGCGACCAGTTTTCCTTATCGCGACTAATTTTCCTTATAAACTAGTCAATTCTTTTTTTTTATATCAGAAGTCAGAGCTCATGCCAGTTGATAAAGAAAAACAAGTTTGCACTTTTCATCTCTATTTTTTATGGAGTTGCACGCGAGTGTTTTATGCAACTGGAGTTTAAGTTATTAAAATTGCAAGCCTTAGCTTTGGTATTCTTACATGTATGAATCGGCTATAAAAATTAACATGCGTTTTTCTCAACAAGGGAATTACGGAAACCCTTTTTTCCAAAGAGAATTGGTGTGCAAAAAAGATATAAAAAATGGACACACCATTAAATGAATATAATGAACTTATTTAAACCATAAATGAATGTTCAAGTTAAGAAGTCAGATAAAAAAAAACTCTTATCCTTGTTTACATGGTGCTCATGTATTTCATGATAAAATTTTGACCATCAAATTGACTGATAATACATAAGTTGCATGTTATAAAAATTATATCATTGGAAACTAATTTAAATACAAATTGAATTTTATAGTTTGTGTGACAAGTGCGTTTTATTGATCAAACTTGAACCTCAAAACGTATGTGCACCATGTACATAGCAACAGAAGGAGTAAGAGCAATAACACACTAGTACCCGCTAGTAAATTGTATGCTAGCGGTCAAATATTTAAATCATTGTCACAAAAATAATGATATACACCCAATGTAGCAACGCTACCCACACAAATAGGGGATCATGAAACATGGGTTCAATCAAGTTTTTTCTAAAACTTTCTACCACCTGATGATAGAAACACTAAAGTCATGAACCCTGTGAAGGAAGAATTGACGTGCGCCACCAAAAGCTAACAGAGAAACTGGTAGAAAGAGATCTCACGTAATGCCACCATTTTGGTGGTATGTAAAGCAGGTCACCTTCCTCCAATATGTTGTCCATGAATTCAAGATCTTCTGTCCTTGGGAATTCCTTAACATCAATGTTGTCAAGATCTACCTGCAAAAGTGCAGAGACATTGTTTGTACAATAGTCTCATGAAGATCAATATCATTCAAAGAAATAACAGAGCACATAGCTTTAGGGCGAGAGGAACATGGATAGCTTGGACAATTACAAAGCAAGGTTGAACAGGAGGATGATACGTGGTCAAATATTGATTACCAAACTTGCTCAGCATCAAGGTTGCTCACAGCAGATTTCGGAACAAATTTGGGCATGATGGAACTGTGCCATCGCAATTTCCGGAAAAGTACAAAAGGCAGGTAAACGAAAAAAAAGTTATGTACTACTCCCTCCGTTTCAAAATAGATGACCCAACTTTATACTAACTTTGTATTAAAGTTAGTACAAAGTTGAGTCTTCTATTTTGGAACGGAGGGAGTAGAAGCTAGAGATCTAGTTCTACTTTCTTTGCCTGACAAATATTTTTCACCCATACATTGATCTAGAAATACATCTGTTCCAACCACTGCATAGTTATCTGACACAGACCACGCACCTGGCTCGTATTGCTTAGCATAGTTTCCATGTGAGGGTACAAATCCTCGGAGATGGAAGCATGATAGAGTCTAATATACTTTCTGCCCAAGACCTGTCAAGAAACACATATAATAGATTTATTTAGAACCTAAATGAAATCTGTCACTCCCATTGTCACAATTAGTTAGTAGGAGTAGCTGATTTATAAATAGCTAAAGGAAATAACGGCAGACACTGGGAATAGGTGCCAGGATACGGCCATCTCCAGATCGAATTTAAATTAGCGTAATGTTTTGCTAAACCTATGTTAAGCTGCACGAAAGAATCTCACCACACATCTTAATTTGAGCATGCAAGCGAATATAACAATTAGCTCCGCCCCTCTCATTACAAAACTGTGAATAACATGTGTTTTCAGTGGAAAGATATAACTTCAACAAGTTCACAGCGTACTGGTCCGTGTGCAGCCAACTTTTTTAAAAAATAAAGAAAATACGAAAAACATGAACACAAATTTAGGTGATTTAAAAAAAATAGTAATCACTTAACTGGCTTGAATGAATACTGACAATCTGATATTACCCCTTTTCGGAGCAAAAGAAAAACAGAAAAAGACTAGTCCAACTAAGTAAGCATTCTCATCCATACAAAATGGATGGTTACAAGCATTAAGCATATCAAGGAACCATTAGTTTGTGTGGCAACTAATGATAGCAACAATACAATCCACTCTCTCCATTCCTAAATATAAGTCTTTTTAGATATTCCAATATGGACTACATACGGAGCAAAATGAGTGAATCTACACTCTAACGTATGTCTATATACATTTGTATGTAGTCCATATTGAAATCTCTAAAAAGACTTATATTTATGAACTGAGGGAGTATTTGTCTTACTTAATATGAGAATGGTTACAATTTACAAACATATCAAGGAACCATTGGTTTGTTGTGGCAACTAATGATAGCAACCATGCAATCTATCTGTCTTACTCAATATATGTGATTTTTGTTTTTTTGTTTCAAAATTGAAATCAGGAGCATAAGATAGCCTGTTTCTGTGAGAGTTGACTGTGTGGTCTTGATTTAAGTAGGAGGACGCCTGCCTACTGAAAAGCAGACGAAACAACAAAGGAGACAGCTTGGTTCAATATATTTCCTAATGGGGGTGTCAAATTCATATCTAAGTGCAGTCTGCAAAGTATGTAGAGAACCGGAGATTACTGGTTGAAGGATGAATAAATCAGATTTGGGAACTTAAGGTCCCATGACTGGTAATTAATTTCCAAATAACGCACATAACATGTTAGAAAAATTGAAGGTTTCGAAATTCAAAACAAAAAAACCTAGTCCACCGATCCCTCATGGCCTCATCCACCAATTCTGTGTGACTAACACCTTCGTTTGCACTACATATGCCCCTTCCCTGAAGTTGAACCCATATTTCAGAGAGAAATTTGCACTACATATACCCTTCTGTTGAAGTTGAGACCCATATTTCAGAGAGAAATTCTTTACATAAGAGTATGCATAATTCCAATTTCCCATAAAGTGTAACTCTAGTTGCAGTAACACCTGTTTGGTTATCATTCATCTGATACCTGAGCAAAAAGGTTGTGATGTGGGTCATGATGCAATGGTGTCACAGTCCCATGAGGGCCAAACCAAGCATTGAGCGATTGGAGTTTCCCACCGCCAGCATAACAGTACTCAGGAACCACTATGTCTTCACGAAGCTCTTTTATCTGCCAAATATTACAAAATAACGCCCAATAACTAGATAGGAAACTAAGTCCGCATATGAAAATAGAAAAAGGATCAAACTTCTCAGGAATAGGTTACCTGGTCAAACAATGGATGCTGGGCTAGATACGTCAAGTTTGCAGAACAATCAGGTGACGACATTCTCTCAAGAAACTGTGAAAATGTGATAAGGTCCTGCCTCCACTCATTACAAACATAACTTTTTCCAACCTGACAAATCATTAATTATACCAGTGTGCTGAGAACTTACATAACAGAAGGGAAAAGGATCCATTTAACAGTATTCGACAAAAAACAAGACCTAACTCATTCAAGCCAGCTACTCTTATGGATAACACAAACAAGCTATTGCTTACGAATGACCTGTTAACTTCACAGGTAGCCAAAAGACAAATATGTGTGCAACTGTTTTAAGATTTATACATATGTTTTGAAGATCTGTTAGATATAAAAGCCGCTTTCAGGGAGTTGTCTCAAATATACAAACAATACTGCTAAGAAATCAAGACTAGATGCATATGAAAAAAGATACCACAAAATCTTTGTAAATGATTTAAAACCAAAAGTAGGCATATATAGGGGGAAAACAGTAGCAGATGGATGGGTGGTATAAAAGAGTTGGTTCAAACCACTAGAAATTATGATTGGTAACATGAATAGACTGATTCGCAGTACAACGAAACATAGGCTAGGCAAGATGCAAATATCCGTATATAGAAGCATGTGAAACAATCTGTCAATAGGACATAATTCTGGCTACTGTCAAAACTAGTCTAGGTAGCACATCTCAAGCTTATATCATACACAAGAACGTAAGGTAAATAATAAGAGGACAAATGTGGGATAGAGAAGCGAATGCAAAAATAAATACTTCCTGAGATAAGCTTGATTGAAGTCCTGGAGATGGAAATTGAGTATATGAGCCACTTGCTGGAAACCAGCCAATTTACTGTAGAATCAGATTTAATCATTCAATGCACTTTTTGAATGAAACTTCATATTATTTCCCAATTAACAGTATATTTATTTATTTAATTTTAATATTTTCTGAAGGAGGCAAAGTGGGCTTCACAATGCATAAGTAGTTTAGTTGACAAAATGTTAGAATTGATTTTGTTTGCTGCATGACAGGTCAATGTGCAAAGCGTAAGTGTGTGAGTAATCACCTCGACAGGAATAGTGCGGTCTCCAGCTATCCTCTCTAGGTATTTTATGTCCTTCCACTTTGTCCTTGCAGGCCAATGATCAATGCAGCCGCTGAGTATAACAGGGGACTCACGTAAAAAGTAATCATGTATAAATGCCTCCAAAGAAATGCATGTCCGCCGCTCGATTTGCTTACAAGATAGGGATTTCACCGGCAGAACTTTGAGCGCCTGAGACAGATTATCATTAAGAGCGTTGCAAAAAAAAGGATTAAATATAATTAGTTAATTAGTACATAATAATATATTGGAGAAATCATATGGCCATAATCCTATGATAATTTTGTACAATATGCTTAAACTAAGTGGGGTTGCCAAACCAAAACCCTATGAAATGGGCAACCCTCTAAGAAACTTCCAAATTTGATGTAGTTAGAAACAAATATAAACAGGAAAAGTAGTGCTATGGAAAAACCTGCGAAAACTAACCCCATAAGTTCTACAATGTGCAAAGATGAAATAATTGCTAGCAAAGGTGTCCGTGTGTTGCAATGGACCCATAATAGACTAATACCCTAGTTTTGGTATATATCACAATTTTTTTTAAAAAAAAACTAGTTTTGGTATATATCACAAAAAATATGTTAGAATTCACCCAAAGTATGTTCCTCTTATCTGTTTGGACAGTGGTGGAGACAGCACCCCGTGAGCCGGGGCAGTTGCCCGGGCTCCCATGGTGCAAGTCCACGGAGCTCTAGTAGAGAAAATTGGGCTAAGTGAGAGTATGTTTGGGCAAAAACTAATTAACTTAGCAACACTTAGATCTTGCACAGGCTCTAAACTTGAGATGGCTCCCCCACTGTGTTTGGATGAGGTGGGAAGGGATGGGGCTGGTCTGAAAAGATAAAGGGGTTTCAGCAAATGTGGAGCTGAGTGGTGGGGTCTTTTGCAAAAATGCCACAACTTACCTTGCATACGTTAGTGCAGATCGGATGGTCGGAAATGGCAGATGGTAGACACACCATCATCACCAATTGGGTTTCTATAGGAGCAAATATATCCCAACAATACATCCATTTATATGGACATCCCTCGCCTAAAGGAGTATTGACGGTGTTATGGCCCAGGGGTGCCTCATCATACCGGAAACCGGCCAGAGTAGGCCGGCCAGGCCCCCCTAGGTCGGTTCCTGCCTGGGCCCATGGCCCGACAACAAGGGCTCAGAGGCCTTGGAGTACACGACAAGGAAGGCAACGTCCAGAGGACCCCTCCGCAACCGACTAAGAGCATGTAACCCTAGACCCGACACCCATATAAGCCGGGGCTAGCTAGTCGATACACAAGAATCTAGAGTTGGAACTCAATCCCTCGATCATCTTTGTAACCCCTATACACAAAATACAACCAAGCAGGAAGAAGGGTTTTACCTCCTCCGTGAGGGCCTGAATCTGGGTAAATCCTTCCATGTTTCCCATCTGATTTACTCGTTTGGACAGAGTACCCTCTCGAGGGATCTGCCAAAAATAACTCCGACAGTGGCGAACGCAGAGATCAGATGAGATCTACAATTGAAGTAAGTGTCTTCGCGTCGGGGCATATGTCCGCGTCCGGCGCGATGTGCTATATCATCGATTCAAGTGGCCATCTCAGGCTTGCCGAAACCTTCGCACTAGGTCAAATTGTCCACTTTGGCAATCTGGAGTTCATCACCAGTTCTTGCGACAAGCTTATCCTCTAGGGCCTAGCTCCTAGTCAGGCCCAGGAGCGGCCGGCAACCTTCATCAACCGACCCACCTCCCACGTCGTCACCAACATTGACACACTACACGACGTCCTGGAAGGAGCCGGTGATAGGAACTTAAAAGCACATTCACTCCCTTGGTGGTTTTGGTAATTCATGTCAACATACATGTTGTTGGACTAATGTTCTTCCTTGAGTATATTTCAGGAAGAGTTCAACTTAGTCAAACCTTTGGATTGAGAAGTGGACCCCTCAAGCTGCTAAGGAATGGCGTTGGCAAAACTTCAAGACTCTACATTTTTTGTTAAGTGATCAAAGATCACATTGAGTCTGTAGGGAAGCCAATACTATTAAAAGGGGATGAGGTTTTGATGATGGTCTAACTGAGTGCTTAGGGATATTGCTCCAAACCCTCAGCCACACATTCATCTATCTCCACAACCCTAAAGTCAATCTCGGTCCCACCGAAACACATTCAACCAGACTCACCGAGATACACTTGACATAGCCACTGCCTAAACCTAGCGTCTCGGTCTTATTGAGTTGGCCCTTCGGTCCCACCAAAGAGCATTTGCCAACCTTATGTTGTAACTGAAATTCAATTGAAATTTTTGAATGTTTTCAGTCGGTGACACCGAAGTGTGGAAAGTGCTTAGGTCAGCTTGACTCGGTCCCACTGAGAGGTTTCATCTGGTCTCACCGAAAAACCTGAAGTTCAAACCTTTTGTACAAGTTGGTCTCACCGAGTGGTTTCACCCGGTCCCACTGAAGTGTGCATAAAGGTGTGTTAGGGTTGGATTATTGGTGATGGCTATATATACCCCCACCCATCCACCAACTCTCAGAGAGCAGCAAGTTCGAAGCTTATACTTCTATATCCATTTTCTAAGAGAGAACCACCTATTCTTGTGTTGAGATCAAAGGTTTTCCACTCCAACCATAGGACTTTGATCTCTAGTCTCCCCAAGTTGCTTTCCACTCAAATCCCTCTCCTACCACATAGTCAAATCTGTGAGAGCATGATTGAGTGTCGAGGAGACTATCTTTTGAAGCACAAGAGCAAGGAGTTCATCATCAGCAACATCATCTATCACCTTTTGGAGAGTGGTGTCTCCTAGATTGGTTAGATGTCACTTGGGAACCTCCAATGCTTGAGGAGTGAACCAAGGAGTTTGTAAGGGCAAGGAGACCGCCTACTTCGCGAAGATCTACCCTGAGTGAGGCTTGTCCTTCATGGGCGTAAGCCACGATGGCATGGACAAGATTGCTTCTTCATGGACCCTTCATGGGTGGAGCCCTCCGTGGACTTGTGTAGCCGTTATCCCCTTAGGGATTGAAGTCTCCATCAACGTGGATGTATGATAGCACCACCTATCGGAACCACGGGAAAAATCTTGGTGTCACCCTTCATTTGCAAAATCTCGTAAACTCTACCCCTTACTTTCTTGCACTTGCATGTCATTTACATTTCGCTGCTCATACTTTAGATATGCATGTGTAGGGTATATTGCTTGCTATCTAACTGGTGCTAAAATCTACATAAGTTTC